GAAAAGTCGAACGAGAAAACGAGGAAGAAAGAGAGTGTTTTGTGAGAATTTTCAGGATAATGATATGAGTAGGATGATGCTGGAGACGTCCAAGTTCTGGGTAGGAATGGACTCAGAGTAATGGAGTTTTACGTGATTGCGTTTTCGAGTATTAAGATGTTTATTCGAATTGAGAGTTCAAACGATACTGGTTTCTTCGATGAGGTCGATAGCGAACACAAGATATCCACGTATTCGAACGTGGTTATAATTGTAACAAAGACAATGAGAAATATAAACATAAAGGCGATGATAGATAGAAACATAATATGTACGTACGGTATACGAAACTTCGCGAATACAATAATATCGGTCGACAAAACTGTTGTATTATCAGATAGATAGATAAACACAAAGCAAGCGACTAAATTCAGCGGTTACAGATAGAATTGATTGCTGATAATTTGAACCGAATTGCTTTTCTCCTGTACGAGAGAGATCAGTTCTTTTGAAAAAGTTTGTCCACGTTCCGCCAAACAGAGAGGAAATCAAGATATGCGTAATATATGTGACGGAATTTTACTGCACATTAGAACAGGTAGGTTATTGATTGTTGATCTATGAATGAAATGTATTTTTTTATTTTTATGTTTCACTATTATACGTATTCTTGTAAACAAAACAATATATTACGTCATATTGTATATTTGACATTTACAGGTAGCTGCATTTGATTTGACATTTACACATAGCTGCGTTGGGACATTATATATTGAACAGAAGCACAACAGATTCACTATCAGGTAATATACAATACTATAAAAAATATCTTTTATTATTATATGTATTTCTATGTATTTATTTGCCCCTAACGAGAATATATTATTTCGTATTTCATATTTCACATTTTGATTGCAGTGTTGGATTATATTTGTTATGTTGAATCGATAAATAACATCCAGGTAATACATCATCTAAAAGATATCTCTTATATATATTCTTGCCCAAAACAAGAATACGTTATTTCACATTGCATAATTTTATATTTTCAGGTTGCTGTGGTAAAGACAAACAGCCAGAATGACATATCGAACATTGCAATCTGAAAATGTGAAATATATAGTATGAAATAATATATTCTCCTTATAGACAAATAAATAAATAAATATATATATATATATATATATAAATACATATAATAATAAAAGATATTTTGTATAGAATTGTGTGTTGCCTGATAGTGAATCGATAGTGCTTCTATTCAAGAGTAATGTTCCAACAGTTATCTGTAAATGTCAAATATGCAGTATGAGGTAATGTATTGGGTGAGTGCAAAAGTTCGTGCGGAGTTTCAATAGATGGAGTTATAAGCGTCGTAAAGTGTTGTCATTAATACTTCCATCTACATATTATATAACGTTGGAAAGGTGACGTCTTCAGCTGTTATTAAAAAAAAAATCATTTGTTTTCATACAAACTGCTTCGAGAAATATCACTTTAAAAATGAGTATCGATAAGGTGCATTTACGGCATGTTATGCTTTACAAGTTTCGGAAGGGAATAAACGTTGCCGCAGCTGTAAAAAACATTCAGGATGTTTATCAGGATGAAGCACTAGCTAAACGAACTGTGGAAAAACGGTTTGCTAAATTTCGGCGCGGAGGATTTAACCTTGAAGACGAGCCACGCTCTGGTCGACCTTCTGACATTGATGACGATGTTTTGCGTACTTTAGTGCTCAATAATCCGCGAATTTCAACAGAAGAAGTTGCTACAGCATTAAACGTTGACCGATCAACCGCTTTTCGGCGTTTAAAAAAGATGGGATTCGATTTGAAGCTCGATATATGGGTGCCTCATTTGCTGACCGAGAAGAACAAAATCAAGCGATTTCTGCAGCCGTTTCTTTACTCGGGCGGCTCAATAGCGAGTCGTTTTTGGATCGACTAGTGACGGGCGATGAGAAATGGGTCCTCTACAACGATGTTCAGCGCAAACGGACATGGAAACAATCAGGTGAGCATGGTGACGCAATGCCAAAGGCCAGTTTGCACCCGATGAAGGTGATGCTCTCTGTTTGGTGGGATTGCAAGGGCATAATCTATTTCGAGCTTCTCCCCGCTGGCGAAACGATTGATTCGGACAAGTACTGTCGCCAATTAACTAATCTGAATCGAGAAATAAAAGAGAAACGTCCGATTTTGTCAAATCGCAAGGGAGTCGTCTTTCATCACGACAACGCCAGACCACACGTTTCGAAAAAGACGCTGCGCAAACTGAAGAGCCTGAAATGGGATGTCTTAACGCATCCACCGTATTCTCCTGATATCGCACCATCTGACTATCACTTGTTCCGGTCATTGCAAAATTATTTAAATGGAAAAAACTTTGACTCTTTGGAGGCCTTAAAAAACGGCGTCTCTTCGTTCTTCGAATCTAAACCGCGCAGTTTTTATGATCGAGGCATCCGTATGCTGCCAGAACGTTGGGAAAAGATTATAGAAAATGATGTAGAATATATCATTGATTGAATAAAGATTTTTGTTTGCCTAATCACTGTGTGACTTTTACTCACAAACTCCGCACGAACTTTTGCACTCACCCAATATTATTGTTTTATTATTATACATATTCTTATATATATAACAAAATAATAATACATTACTTCATATTGCATATTTGATATTTACAAGTAGCTGCATTTGATTTGACATTTACAGATAGCTGCGTTGAGACATTACTATTGAACAAAAGGACAACCAATTCACTGTCAAGCAACACACAATATTCTATAAAAAATATCTTTTATTATTATATGTATTTATATATAAAAAATATCTTTTGTTATTATATGTATTTATATATATTTATTTGTCCATAACGAGAATATATTATTTCACACTGTGTTTTTCACATTTTTAGATTGCAACATTGGAACATATTTGTTATTAAGCAGAAACAGAATTGATAGGCCATATCCAGGTAAAGCACGTTTAAAAGATATCTTTTATATATATTCTTGACTAAAACAAGAATATGTTATTTCATATTGCATATTTTATATGTTCAGGTTACTGCTATGAGGACAAATATAGGCGAAATGATACATCGGCGTTTGAAATCCACTCTGCAGAACCTTACGAAGTGCGGACAGATGAGTTGAGATCATCGACGTGAAGCTCTCGTGCTATTCGACATCGTGTTGCAATAGCAATTTTTTACATCGCAGAAGCCTCAAGAGTATCAAGTTGTAGAAAATTTCTAGTTGTAAAAAAGTAAATTAGTTGTTGCGTGGAATATTTATTGTATATTATCTAGGATTGTATAAGGATAAAATTGATAATAAATAATGCATGAGATAATGCATAATTCTTTTATAAGATTCACAAATAAAATTATACATATAACCGGAATATATTAAATTATGCATTGTTGCGCGATAAAATAAGTAAAGAGGACCGTCATATGTCATTAATAAAATATATGACGGGGGTGGAGGTGGAGCCTCTTCTATATTTTTTATAATAACTAAATACTGTTCAGAAAACTGTAGTTACACTTATGATATCCATTGTAATTCTTGTCCTGTGTTGAACAAAATCAGTAATATCTGTAAAATCTTACCTTATAAAAGATAAAAAAAAGCGCCAAGGTACGCGCGTCTGTGTCTGTGCAAAAAACTTGTAAGAACACTTTGTACAAAAATCTATTGTAAAAAAAAAATTAATAACTATAATAAAAGAATAACTTTTGTAAAAAAACTGTACAAAACCTGTTGTAGAAAAAACCGTATTAATAACTGTAATAAAAACACCCTTACAAAAACTGTACTTGGAAACGTACATCAATTTGTAATAAAAGTTTGTAGAAAAAATCTTATTAAGATTGAAATAATTTTGATATGTAATTTGATTTTATATTTTATCATAATTATTTTATTTCATTTTCAACAAAAATGATGAAAATAAAATTTTTTTTAGAAAATTTGTATAAAAAACAGTAATTTGTAACATTTGATATTTTTCACTACAGAAATAGTGATATTAGGAGATTTGCGCCAAATTATAATGACAACAAACTAGTATTATGTTATTACATTTCTTATTTATGTATTTTTTATGTTCTTGTTTTTTTTATATCACTGTTTGTTGAATATATATTAATGAAGCAGTTTGTTACAGATACTATTGATTCATTGGTAAAATAACTTCCCAGAAAACACTAAGTAACAGTTATATAATTGTTTATTGTAATTTCCCATTCAACAATATAACTATTATATAATATAACACATATGTTATATTGCATTTATATTGTTTAATTGGTAATTATAACTAATTGCTATATCTAATAGTTATATAACTGCTACATACTATTTACTGAGTTGTCACGGTTATTATTATTTTTAACAATAACAGCAATGCAAGTAACGCGAGTTAAGTTATTAACTTTATATTAAATAAAAAAAGAAACAAACAATTTAATCTGAGCATACAAAAAATTGAAAAAAAAATTATGAAGATTCACCGAAAATAAAAAAACTCTTGGCGCCCCTTTAACCGTTTACCTTTAATCAGGTGCTTACTGGGCTCATTTTGCTCATTGGGTATATACATCCTCGTATATCATTTTATATTTCTATACTCAATTACAATTAATAAGTACTATGTGCCTATAAAAGTTTATCAAAATAAGACATAAGGTGGTCTATTAAAATTTTACTTGAGTTCTTTTAGAAACTGCTTTGAAAATAATCATGTAAAGTAATTAAAATATATCTTATATTTAGATGTGGATATAAATTTAAAAAAATATTGATAATGTTAGAGAAACATACATATATAGTTTATTTTCTCAAAAAATTTTCTCTATAAAAGTATTAAACATAATCTGTACAAAATTATTTTTAATACTTTTATTAAATTTACATTTGATTTTATTGATTACTTTTATATTAAAGAAAATGAAATACATATAAATTACATTTATATACATATACATATATATATATATATATGTGCGTGCGTATATGGTGAATGTATATAATACATGTGAATATATCTTGTAACAATTTATATAAACTATATTTAAGATCTATGCATGTAATAATCTATAACTGTTGAGAATGTTGCAAAACCTGCAGCACCAATCAGACCTGCTTTTATACCAGCTGTAAAGATTTAAATGAAGTAATATAAATTAAAAAATTTTACTTCACACATTGAAATTATTAGTACCTCTTAAACCAATTATTCCACCTGTTAAACCACCAGCATATGTACCATTTTTCCAATCTGTTTTACCCCTATACTAAAAATTAAGGTACAACTTATAGTATGAAAATAATACATCATTTAAAAAAACAATATATTATATAAAAATAGAATCTTTAGCATATAATTAATGATTTACATTTTATTAATCTTACCGATTCTATACTACATTCAATAGCGGAAAATATACATCCAATAACTGCAAAATTTTTTGCATAACTAAGTGTCGTTGTTTTCATTTCCCTTAATATTTCTCGTGCACTCTGTTGTTTCTCAACACTTGCTACATTAGGATTTACACTAGATGAGAATAGTCCAATAGCTGCTCCCAAACCATATCCTAAAAGTTTTATGTCCAGTTAATGTAATATATTCTAATATATATGTTAATATTGCTACTGTATAAAACTGTATAATACTGTATACTATTGCTTACTGTATAAAGAATAATAAATATAAATAATAAATATACCAAGGATGCAACTCATGATGCTTTTAAATGCACAGCTTTCCATTATACTTTCTATTTTCTTCTCCTCATTAGTCTTTATTTGCACGGGTCCTATTGTTCTAGGAATTATGATATTTTCTCTAAAGCGCTGGTGATTCCCAACAAGAAATAAAGCAATCTCATCTAATTCAATATCAGTTAAAAATACTTTTTCTCCTTTCATTAGAGGTGGAATTGTCTTATTCAAATGGTTAGGATACATATTTAACAGTATTATTTATAATAGCACATAACCTGTACAGATTTTCAAATATTTATTAAATAATTTATTACTATACTTTAATGCAATAATTATATGAAATATTGATAAATGTAAAAGAAACAGGCTCTTTCACTGATCTGTCTGAAACTTTGGAATATTCTGCATATTTTAATGTGCAAAACAAATCTGAAAGTTAAAAATATCACTCTCAAGTGAAATAAGAATTATGAAGTGCTAAAGTGATAGTTTTGAAGTTAGGAAATTTGTTATATGACAACATATAATAACAAGAACATAATCAGTAGCCATATGTGCATGCAGAAAGCTCGAGTTTGAAACACATATATGTATTAAATCTTCATCTTATGTTAGATATTTCAGTTATTTCTGCTGTTTGTTTGCTTGAAAAACACATTTATTTCAATTACAAAATGAATTGATTAGTTAATATGGATGGTTGGCCTGGGTTTATCCATGATTTTTTACATTTAGGATTATCATAATGAATCTACTCTTCATCACCAGTAACAATCTGGTATAAAAAACTTATTTTTATGCCAGACAATCAGAACAGTAGTGGATATATGGTTCAGTATATTTGCTTCGGTTCATGTGACATCTATTTTCTTTCTTTTTGAATTTTTTCCATTGAATATAAATGGTCAGAAACTATCAAAATTGGAACATTTAGTATCTTAGCCAATTCTTTGAGTGTTTGAGATTGATTTGGTTTAATAATGCTTGCAATTCAGCATCGTTAAACTTTTTTAAATGATCTGGATGTTCCTTGTTTTTCACATCAAAATCATCACTTTTGAATCATCAAAATCAGTCTCTACATGTTGTTTCTGATGGAGCAGAGTCACCATAAGTTTCCATTAAAATTCAATGTACTTCAGTTGGTTTTCTTTGTATCAGAGTAGTGTAGAAGAACATGTTGAAAAAACAACTTATTGCATTCCATTCAGAATGGATTTAAAAATAATATCATTAAACATAAAAATAAACCTCGCAAAGTAAACTTTAGTGAACTGAATTCTATTGGAAAACGTCTGACCTTTAATATAGCATAAATTCCAGCCATCACAGTTTACTACATTTGCAGCTGAAGCCATCTAAATGCGAACAGCGAAAATTAACCAAAATGACTAATATACAAAATGTAAGATTATTAGAATTAGATTGGGATTAAAACTATTAAAATTTAATATATACATGCGTTTCAAACTTGCACTTTTTGCGTGCATATATGACTACAAATCATGTCCATATTGTATATCGTCGGTATGACATTTCCTAACCTCAAAATTATCACTTTAGCACTTTATAACTTTTATTTCACTTAAGAGCAACACTTTTATCTTACAGATTTGTGCTTTATGCATTAAAATATGCAATATTCCAAATTTTCAAACAAATTGGAGAGGAAGTTCGTCTCCTTTACATTTACCGAAATATTTTAATGAAATAATATAAAAATGAAACCTATCATGTTAAGTAATTCTGAAAAAATTAAAAAACTTACATCAAATAATAAGGAAAGACACTGATTAACCAAGGAATTCACTTCGGACGTTTCTCTCTCTCTCTCATTTCGGAGGGACAATTCTCAATACTATTACTAGAGAGAAACCTGAGAGCGGTCACCAGCCCAATTACGCTGGGACGCTTTTCCTGCCGAATTCCGTCGCGCCCCCTGAGAAAATGTACGCACACTACATTCGCCCTAACGGTAACAGTAAAGTGTGCACGGTTCTTGCTCACTCTACTTTCTTACAAGAGATAATAAAGTCAGCGGCACACGGTGTTTGTTTTCGTGCTGGATTGCTTGCTGGATGAAAATATTGCATTCTGATTGGTGCATTTCCATCCATCTTCGGAAATGTACCAATCAGAACGCAGTATTTTCATCCAGCAAGCAATCCAGCACGAAAACAAGCACCGTGTGCCGCTGGCTTAGGTTAGACGAGCACAGATGATCAATCGCTTTCCGTTTTTGTTGCACCACCGATGAGCGGCCGCGCGGCAGGAGGAGGAACGACGCGAATCAGTGGCAGATCTTTATCATTAAGTTAGAATCTCTCCGGACTTGCCCCTTCGCTTTCTTATTTTTCACGCAACGCACTGCCCGCAATTCGGGAAGAAATATTTCGAGATCGCGCGAACAACTTCTAGCAATGACACAAAATGACGCTAATGAGGATGGCCATTTTTATAATTTTTATATTCAATTTTATGATTTTCATATTCAGTTATGAACATACATATGCATATGCGTTGTAAATGTTAATATTTTTATTTTTTCTGGTCACGCGGGGGAAACCCCTTATGGGCATTCCCGGTCCTTGGGGGGGGGGGCCGGGTGTTAAGTGGGACTCGCACCCACTAAAACCCCCGCGGGACGCCTCCGGGAGAGTGCTCCGCGCGGGTACAGGAAGGCTACCTGCCTCTCCTTCCGCACTCCGCAGCACCCTATGGCTCGTGGTAAGGTTCCTCCCGGGGCGCCGCGCGCCGCGGTACTTATGTGGAGGAGGTCAGTGAGGGTAAGAAGGGAGAGGCGCCCGTGGTTAAGCCGGTGAGTCTTCAATCGCCGTTCCTCTCCTTTCCGAGTAGTTCTCCACCCCCAGCATGAAGGGGAAGGTAAGTCCAGGGTGACCCGAAGGGTCCTGGACCCCCTTAATCACCATTCAGGACAAGGAAGCGCTGTCTCATGGACGCGACGCGCGACGCCGGTCGGGCGAGTGAAACTTCCCCCGATCTACCGGCCTGTAGTGCATAGGGTCGGCGAGGAAGGGGGGCGTCCAACCCCCCTCACCCCACCTCGATGGTCTGAGGTGGAGGGAACAGGGCCGGCCCTCACCGGGTTATCCTGTTCCCCCCAAAATCTCTTCCGCGTCCACGGAGGGGAGAAATTCATCCCCCCAGGATTTCGGCACTAGCCGCCGGGGGGACACCCTCCACCACGGACGAAATTCCGCCCGCGTTATTAGCGCGGGTAGAGGACGTATCCCCGCCGTATCGTGCAGCGGGCTCCGAGGCCCGTTACGGAGGGGGCACGGCTCCCCCTCTGACGGAGGGGAACCACGCCCCCTCCCACGCTGCTCGGAGCGCAACTTCGTTCCTGCGGGCTCGCCATCGAGCCCGCCTCCGTCGTCTTACCGACGACAACGTCCACTCACGGTTGGTGCATTAAGACACACCCTTAGCCGCTGCGTTCGCAGCGGCACCAGCGAGTCCTCGTTGGGGAGGGGGCGGCCGCGACTGCGCTCCCTGCGCCCGCCGCCTCCCTTTCGAGCGTGAGGCCAGCGCACAGGATGGGCCAGCCATCCTGTAGCTGGCCTCTCTTCCGGCCCCATGGCACGCCACGAAGACAGGTGCTGTAAGGTACCCCTGCACGGTGTGCCCTCCCCGGCCACACCTATAGCAAAGACCGCTACGGTCTTCCGCCGCGGTGCAATTTGTCCTGGTGTGGCCGGGGCCCCAGCAGCGGAAGCACTGGGATGGCCTGGCAGCCAGCAATGACACGCTGACTGCCGACCACCCCATCGCAAAGCTGCCCTCCTTAGCGGCCTTGACGGCGGTCGCCAAAGGAAGGCGAGCCCAAGCGACTCTCCGGCCTAGGGGCTAGCTAGGGCTCCCCATCGGAGGGGGCCGAGCTGAACCGCCTCGGGTTCGCAACTCGCGCAACCTGCCAGGGCAGTTCTAATTTCCTTTGGGGAGGCCGCCTCGTTAAACTCAATGAGGCAGACCTCCTCTTTTTGCTGGAGGTGTTTAATTATCGCCCCCAGCAAGACTACTCTCAACGGCGAGTCTATCCGCCTTTATCCCCTCGGGGCCCGGGTCCCGGACACGGACAATTAATGCGCCATCGGCGCCCCTCCCGACGTCCACGCCCGGGATATCAAGGTCCTCGAGGGGAATTTCATCCGTGGCCCGCTTAAGGATCTCCGCATAAGAGGCCCCCTACGACAGCCGCACGGTAACCGCAGCCGTCGCAGACACTCGCGGCCACTTCCTTCCCCATGCAGGGGGGATTGGAAGGGGGCTGTGCCCTCCTCCCTTCCTTCCTCCACCGCTCTTCATCCCTAACAGGGGGGTTTGAAAGGAGGGAAAGCCCTCCTCTACTCCCCTCCCCTAATCCCTTCATCCCTAGCAGGTTGGGAGTGCCTGGCCGAACCAGTCTCTTGCGTTCCCTCAACATAGTTTCTTTCTTTCCGTTTCTTCCTCTTCTTATGGTCCACCGTTTCCCATTTCTCGCCTCCGCGGAGGACAACGGGGTCCACACTTCTTCCCAGAACTGGGAGGAGGGGGGAGAGGGGAGCCATCCGTCTGAGAGGAGGCGTCGACCTTCGGCGCCTCCTTACGCTCAGAGACCCCGCACTCTGAGGCCCCCTACTCCTTGTCCGTTTGGACGAAAGCCTCCATTAACCCTCGCCCTCTCCTTACCTGTGTAGAGGCCGTCCTTATGACCGGCCTCTCTTTTCTTTCTCTCTCCTCCGTCTGTACGGACGCCGTCGTAGAAGGTGGCCTCCGTAATACTTCCTCCAATTGCACCCGGCTTCTGGCCAACTGGCCTTGAAGAAGCCGGAGTTCCTCCTTGGTTGCCTCCAAGGCAACCTCCGCCTTTTCCTTCTCTTCCTTTCCTATCATCCTTTTTCTTTTTAATCCTTCCACTTCCCGGCCCCTTTTCTCCATTGTCACGACCAACTCCTCCCTACACTGTTGGCTGATCCTCAGGGATCGATGTAATTTCGCCCTGTCCTCAAAAAGCCTCTGAGCCGTTCCCCCGAGTATACGCATGCACCTTTGTATACTCTCCATGAGTTCCTGCAGCTGGCTCTTCTGAGCCTCGCTCAATATCCTTCCCCCTCCCCAATCTTCCTTTACCCCCAGTAATATATTCATCCCACTCCTCTAAATTCTTTGGAGAGAAGCACATCTTCTCCCCGATCTCCAACGTCTTGTCCGGGTATATCTCGGCACTCGTCGAGGCTTCCTGGGAAGCCGCCGATGCTCCGGATGAATCCCTCTCCCTCCTCCTCCTCTTCTTACTCCCTTCTTTTGTATTAAAATCAGCTATTGAAGTCATTGATTCCCACCACTCCTGGCGGCTCGACTGGCCGGGCATGCCCGCACCACGGAAAACATGACCCGGTGGTGTCCTCGAGTTCCCCCGGGGAACCGGTCTATGCCTCGGGCCCGGGGAGAGGCATCCCAGGCGCTGGACTCTCATCCCAACCCCCATCACTAGGAGCTGGGCCGGTTTCAGGGGCCCCCGTTCTCCGACACCCGGGGTACCGTCAGGAGCGCCGCCACGCGGGGGGCCCCGTGGAAGGAGTTAGGTCAGCGGTATCGCAACCCACCGGGACCGCTCCCCCACGGCAGCTAGCATATACTCGCTGCTCAGGAGATGGGTTTAGGGATGATGCGATCCCCATCCCCCGGGCTCACCCCGGGAGGCTCCGGCCCCGACCTCAGAATACGTCTGAGCGACCCGGAGCTCCCCTCGCCACCCCGGGTACCGTGGGGGATCCCAAACCACCGCGGTGTGCAGACCCGGGTGTGGCTCGTCCCTTCGGGCGGCTGGAGCACCGGTGTGCAATACCCTTGGGGACGGATCCACCCTCAACACGAGGGTAAGGTCCTGCCCCTCCGACTGCCGGGACACCGGCGTGCAATGTCGGAGGGGTGAAGTCCTTCTCCTCAACCCCAAACATGGTCGAGACTGACCATAACTGGCCAGACCGCCATAACTACCCTGGGCGATCTTACAAGGGAACAGTCGCGGGCGTCCCTCACCGATTTGAATAGGCATTGGATATGTTGTAGAGGATCAAAAAATATTAGACACGTATTTTTTTATATGTGCTTATCTCGAGGTTTAGGGGTTGAAATCACACCTTGAAGAAAACGGATTTTTTCGTTTTTATCAAATATCTTCTAAAATATGAGAGATATGAAAACATAGTAAATATAAGAGTTTTACAATATTTGATGCTTTTGCACCTGTCAATTCAAATTTTTCAAAATATCAAATTTACACTCCCCGTTCTCCCCACCACTCATTATTTTCGCAAATTCCAAAAATTTTGTAAGAACAAAAATTAAAGAGCATTGAGTTCCGAATCCAACCATGTATAATAATGTTACTTTCCGAGATACGGACTTTTCGAAAAATAGATGGAAATGTCCGTGTATACCCGTAACACGCTATGCACAGCGCCTACCTCACTCGATAATATACGCAACACGTCCTCTTCGAATTTCTTTCGAATAATAGGCGATTAATACCGATACGGAGAATATGTAATCATAAAACATTTCAATATATAATAACGTTATTAATAACAATCATAGATTTATACACAACAATATTTCTATGCTTCGTCTTTATAAAAAGATATACGTATACGCTCTGTGAAAGTTAGATTTTATGTATAATAAGTTTGTGTGTCTATTTTTGTGGTGGTTGACGTAAGTACTACGACGGAAGTGATACATGAATTGCGAAATCAATCATGTTTATTAATGCGGCGTTTTCATCGAATCTGTGACACGTGAAAAACGCCGCATTCATGAAATCATACGTGACTGCATAATTATATCTAATATGATATTGATAACGTAATTATTTTCACGCACACGCACCACATATACACATACACATCTACAATCGGGAAAG